CCTGATGGTACGATGAGCGCGAGAGCTATGATCCAAGGGGTTGCCTGGTTTTGCGCAGGCATACAACGGCTATTAACATTTGGAATGTGTCGTGCGTATATGGATTGGTATGGCGGAAAACCCCGATGCGCTGGCCAGGCCATCATTGTGGCGATTGATAGCTCCGATTTAGACCGGCTACCAGTGGCCAAACGGGAGCTGCACGCAATGCTAGCGGACGAGGTAAGCCTGGTACTATTCTAGCCATGATGATGCGGCTATGCACTGCCTTTAGCTATTCACCCCCAACCAATGCGATTTTTTAGCCATTTTGAAGCGCGACCACAAAGCAAAGGAAAACGCCTACCGAATTCGTGCCACGGCTGATGGGTGACCTCTAACAGTATTTTCTCTTTTGCTGGATTTGACGGCGAGCAGAGTGCCCATGGTGCGCCTGTCCTGGTGTACGCCAACAAGCAAGACCTGCCCCAAGCGCTGTCAGCGGCACAAATTTCCAACGCCCTGGACTTGGTAGCCATCAAGGACCGCCAGTGGCATATCCAAGCGTGCTCGGCGCAGACTGGCACAGGTCTTATTGAGGGAATGGAGTGGGTTAGCAACCGGATCACATAACTGCTCTTGGACTACTCCGAAATGGCTTATCGGAGGCACGGCCATGTCTACTTGTAACTCTTTGGCATAGACACAGCAATTCGTTAGAAGGGTATATTTCAGTCCATATAAATGGGTTGATACCTAGTGCCGAAAACACATTGAAAACACTGCATGCAATGTTCGAGTGACTAAACCTACGAGTAAAACGAGGCTGTGAGGAATGAGCGACTTGAACGCTCAGCCTTGCGACCAGGACTCGCACGCGCTACCAGTTGCGCCAATTCCTCTCACTGCCCGTTGGTCTTGTCCGGTCATTTTTCGGTTGATGTTTGGTAAAGCGAACACTGGGTTTATTGCCGTTGTGCAGATGGCAGCGAACGCATGCAAAGCTTATTTTCCGGGCTAATAGCTTGAAAGGCCGTGTATATTCCAGTAGGGGCCAAGAACTAAAGGGTCGAGCCTTGACCCCGCATAACCACACAAAGACCAACAAGGAGATGGCGATGATGCGAGGAGTCGCGATTGAGGCAAGGGGTTTTAATTTATATGATAGGGGCGTGAATGCTTTCGGCTTATCAAGCATCAGCCTGGATTTTGGTGCCCATCGGCAATCTGTGATCAGAGCACCCCACGGTCCCTCTGTGCGTGGCATTACGGCCCACATCAAACGTTCCCTGAATCGTTTATGTTCAGAACTGGACGTCAGAGCTTTTTCAGTGACGCGTTATGTTCTTTGGCAATTGCTACTACGGTATGCGGCGAAACTGCCACTCCTAAGCGACGATCAATGT